GGCTCTCCATTCTCTTTCAACCATTTGCCACAGTTCGTCTCCTGAACAAGGCAGGGGCAAAGTCTGCAAACGGCGTCCAATCACATGCCCCACATGTTCGATTGGTGACAGGTCAGGAGAGTACGGTGGCCAGGGAAGCATCTGTATACCTTGCAGAGCATGTGTGGCAGATGCGAGCACTGTGTGGTCGGGCGCTATCCTGTCGCCGCTCGGGAAAATGAGAGCGACAATCAGGGATTTTAATGAATATCTCTGATTTGAGCCTTTTTTTTTTTTTTTTTTTTAAAGTGGACGCCGACCATGTTTAGAGCCCAGAAAAGAATAGTTCAAAGTTTGGTGACGATAGCTATATTAGTAATTGATTACTTTATAGAACTCACTTTCTCTGGTAACATCAACCCATGAGCTCTATAAAGACTACAGAGGAATAATTCTCTTGTCTGGAAACTGTAGACAGACAAGGTCAGAATAAGGGTGTAAATAGCTCTTTTATTTTAGCGTAAAGGAGTAACAGTAACCCGACTTGGGTTTACACAAAAACATACTTCTGGATTAACTTAAACAGGTAACGATGAACTAAACATCAATGAAGTTAGGCTAGACTAACGGCTCACGGGATTAAGTAACTCGAATAAAGGCTCTGTTGTGTAGAAACCGGCAAGACAAGCCTAATGGCTAGAAGCACTCAACGCCACAAAATCAAATCGCTATTTAGTCACGGTAACAAGGTGACCTAAAGTAGGCAGAACACGTTCTAAAATCAACTTGCGAAACCTTTGCTTAAATAGTACTTCTTTCTCAGTCCGCCTGAATAAACGCGCATTAACTTATTTAGATTCTAGCATAATTAATGTGGGTGAAGAGGAAAGTGACAGGAAAGTTGCTTTAATTCAAAATTAGCTATTCGTCAAAAATAAACAGATAAATCCTCACTACTTTATTACAGTTAGTGCTAAAATTCTTCAAAATATTCAAGTTGATAATTAGTTATTTAGCTCTTGGTTTATGAAAATGAGGAATATTCCAAACTAATTAAAACAATACAATTAATTTAAAATATTAATTTAAAGTACCTGAAAAAAAAGCAGTAAATTCTAATTTAATCCATTTTATTTGCGATGATTTTACTAAAACGTATATAATAATAAAATAATTAGGCTTACTTAAAACTATTTATTACCAAATTGTTATCTTGTATGTGCATTTTTCCTGTTTCTATTATTTTTAAATGTAATCTCATGAAAATTAAAAATTCATGATGTAATCAAATTTATTCTCAGAAGCGTGTGTAAATGTAAAAAATTATTTTATTGTTCTATTAAAATCTATTATTTTATTAAACACATTTCAGGCATGGTGTGACAATTTAAGACCAGAAATGCTGAAGTACTTCATTTTGTCAATGGTACACAGCCCTCAAAAATTTAGGTGAGTGAAATAAGAAAGCTTTTATTTTAAATTGTAAAATTATTTCTGGAATAATATTGAATGTTCCTGATTATAAGTGTGTTGTTACTAGCATGTTAAAGGATTGAAATGATATCCTGCACAAAGGTATTTAAAATTACGGAGCAATTTCTAATCAACCAGAATTTGCAAAAGAATTTGGTTGCAGAGCAGATTCAACGATGAATCAAGAAAAAAGTGCGAGGTTTGGTAGAAGAGTCAACTGAATACGCTACATAATAAATAAACCAAATTTTAGAAAATATTTTATTTGTAATTTTAGTTTGGCGTTATGATGAAACATGTATTATCTATCTATACATATTATTTACATGCACGTAACTAAATATTAATTTTTAAAATCATACTGCACCTATTAGAAAATTTTATTTTAATATATCATAGATAATCTTGTTGTTGATAATTTTTAGAATTTTTAATCTAACCATGAGAAAATTTTCGCATCTGATATAAAGTCTATTTGTTATAACCTTTGGTTAGCATAGAAAGATAAAAGAAGGAACTCTTCGACAGAGATATTCATAATCCTGCAGATCACACTTAAATCAAACACAATGAAAATGAACCTGAGGAAAGAAGAACAGAAATTTACAACCATAATTCATAACCATTTTGCAAACAAGTAATAACATCCATGATTTTTTAATATCCAGTTATCATACATTCCAGAAATTTGACGGGCAATATCAAACGAACACAATTTTAGAATATTTAATTATTTAGGGCAAAGTTCTCAAGGAACAGCAACCTAAAGATACGAAACTTTCTTAAAAATATGCCTAACAGAAACTGGCTCATATTCACGGTACACCTAGGGTAAATCAGTTGTCTCCGAAGTAACTAGGCGGTTCGTTGCAATTCAAAGGTGCAATGAAAAAGAGCTACTTTTCTTTTAGGAAGTGCTTCACGAAGGCATCCTACCTCAATGGCAATAGCTCTCATATGTTTCTTGTATTGGCAATAAAAAAATAAGCATGCGACTGTGATTGCAATGTGTAATTTACATAATTATGAAAATCATTGCTCCTGATAATTTCGGTTACATAGCCTAAGGAGATCTTAATCCTGCGTTTGTATCAGCCTGAAATAACAGCATAAGTTATTTACTAACCCTTTGTTAACCCTATCCAACACGCTATCTTTTAAAGTCGGAATTTTGATAAAAGCAAACGTAGGTAGTCTAATTAGGCCTAGAGGAGTACACAAGTAAAATTTTGTGAAGATAGCACTTATCATTTTAATTCTGTGGGTGTGCCCAAAGTAGGCACACTGATTGAATAGAGCTTCGAAAAGAGTACTGAAATGAGCATTGTTGTCAATGAACTGACCGATGAGATACGGAGAAAGAAAGAATAAAGACTCTCAGTTGTCCTAGATGATCGGTGCGTCCGGTCTGGGCACACCTAGGGTTCGCGGTTTGATTTCAGGCAAGATTTCAAGGTAAAAATTTAAAACTTATATAAAATAAGGAGATTAGCATACAGCCAAAAAAATAACATACACATTTCTTTTCAAACAATTTCTTTTATACCCTAAAAAAATCTGGAAAAAAATTTAAAAATGAGGGTCTTAAAAAACTAAACATGGCTAAAATATATGGACTGGTTTGTGTTGAGCTGCCATCTGCTATAAATAAAGAAGGTTCAGAGTAACCTATAGTAATCTATAAATAGTTTTTCATTCAGTTTTTCTGTGCGTACAGAAGGAAATTTTTAGGTGTGTCCAGACCGGATGCACTGTGCCGCAAAGGGTTAAATGCTATCCATATTTTCAGTAAATATGCAAAAACAAAACATAGTTAAAGCGGATTGTGACCGCGGGAGCTAATTTGGGCTGTTTCGTACTGAACTAGATACGCATAACTTTGTTTAACAAATATGAGTGTTTATGATGTTCCCCGAAAAATACAGAACGTGGATTTGAATTATTTGAAGAGCTTCACTTATCTTCATAGTCTTCCCGTTTTAACAAAGGGAAAAATTAAGAGCTGAATTAATTTTCATAATCGTATCCGATTTACTGCTTGTTCACCTAGTTGGTAGAAAAGCATACATACATAGATAACTATCCTGCTTAATTTCTGCGTGTATAAATTTTCAGTAACAATATTGACTACTAATTATTTTATCATTAAATACAACACACATTTTCAATTAATAGTTTCTCTCTTGAAACAAGATTAATGAGATACAAAATTTGAATGTTGCTAGAAGAATAATACTTAATTAATTAATTTAATAATTATTTTAAATGTCACTTTCTGCAAGTACTGCATTTGCTCAATGACCGCAGCAAACCGCATTTCGAAAATAGATTAGGAAGTATTTTATATACTAAATTCTTTGAAGCACTAATATCTTCTGGTTTAAATTCCAGAGAATATCGTAAAATACTAATGGAGTTAGATCAAACGCAATGAGAGGCTAGAATAAACCTTTCTATGAAATGAGTTTCTTCTTTACCTGCAGTGGAAGGATCCTAGACGAAACATGCTTCGTTAAAACTAATGTACAACCTAGGTACGCAGGATTTTTAAACTGAACTGAAAATGTTCGTGCGATTTGTCCAACCAATCAGCTATCAAGAAAACGAAAACTCGAAGTATTTCTTTCGGCGCATTGTCGTGGGTAGCTCGTTGGTGTTCAAACTGTGACCCAAACGATGACTTTTCTTTGGTACTCATTCGCTACCGTTTTATTTGTCTATTACATAGAAAAAGCCCAGACGAGGCCGCGATGTAAACGCCGATGAAAGAGCTTTTTCCATTTTTCTTTATTGCGACAATTTTCTTAAATATTCATGTTACCGTGGTCCAGTCTCGCAATCTGCAAAAATCGTTAATAATCTTCATTAAATGTTCAAGTTAAATTGTCAATTTGAGTAATTTATGCATTTCCCTAGACATTAAATTATTCAGCCATTTTATAAAGTGTGCTTACAGACATCAAGGTAAAAGAAGTTCTCCACTTAAGTATTTTCATCACACTTCTTGTTGTTCATGCTATTGTACTTCGATGGTCATCCGTAAAATTTCATCTTTCTATAGAACTATTTCTACGGGACGTACACAGGCGTTAAAGTCGTTCTGAATTTCTGAAAGTGCTCATTTATTTATTTATTTAGCGACAAGTAACTTTTCGCCCTCAAAGGTCAGAGCCTTTTATAACTGCAATATGTTTCATCAACCTTCCATTAGCTTGAAACATATGGACAGATGAAAGATGCCTTTCAAAATCAGTCTTTCATTGAATGGACAATGCGTATGTAGCAATCAATAATCTAATGCCGTAAAAATAAAATTGTCATTTCTTTTCTGCATTGCGTCTTCGTCTGCGGTAAAAAATCATTTTATTTGTACATGTCACCTTTTTTTTTTTGGTGCAGTCGATACATCTGCTGAATGTCAAATTTCCTCATTATGAGAAAAGCAGCATTTGTACGAACAATGAGCAACAAGTTTTCGAGCATTGTTTAAATATCTACACATCTGTTCTGTTAACCGCAGTCTTCTTCCATAAAAGTTACTATTGAAACTCAATCCTGTCCTGTTTATTTAAACGTGCATTTGACATATATTTATTGGCATAGTGGAAGAACAAACTTTTCATTAATTCAATGAAAGGCATTTTCATTACAATTACTAGCTATCAGATAGAGTTAGTATAGTTTATACAGCGCCATCTGTATTTGGTCGCATTGGGACAAAACCACTCGATAACTTTAAGTTCTTAGATAGTGAGATTGTTAAGTTTTGCAACTTGAAAGAAAGATTGGAATTGTTTTCCTATCGTTAGTAGTCATAATTACAAACAGGCGTACGAAGGTAATAATAACAAACAGCCGTAATGGAAATTATAAAGGACGTTCTTTGTAGACTGTTGGTGTTGACAGGTAAGTACAAACTACATATTAAATTAGAAATTACTATTGTAAATGCAATTATATTAATTTGAAATAATCTGTAACTGAAGCATTTCACCATCAGTACCATTAGAGGTATTGAATTACAATTTTTGAGTCGGTGTAGTGATGCACCCACCTGCATAATGTGTACTTGATAAATAATAATGCTATGTTGTCGCTGTTACCAATCTTACTTCCCTGACAATGGTCAGGATAAAGCCACGACATTCATCGTGGCAAGGACTCAAATGAGCTTTGAGCACCATACGAGTGACAGCGCGACTTTAGCTCAGCTCGCCCCCAGTTTTGAGAAACTGTATCCCCGGTGAGAGGGGGGACGTATCCGAAAGTCTTCAACCAATCTACTCCTACCACAACCTCTCGAGAGGATTTCGGCTCGCTGCCTGTTTAGATTGCCCCACGTCGCATAGACATTATTCATTCACAAAGATTGATGCCTTATCCTGTTTCCGAGCCCGGCCCCATCGGTATAGAAATCAGAATCACTAATCACTACCCGGTTGGGCGGTAATCATGATATAAATCAATAAATTTAACTTTTGTATATTTAGTACTAAACGGATTCGAACTTATCTTTAGATAACTACGCTAATTCCAGACTGTTAGTGCTTGTTACTAAACGCATACTGATATCCTGCATTCTTCTTAAAAATCTTCAGTCTGATAATTTGACTGGTAACTAACGGATGAGAAACATCGGACAACATGCGATATGATACCGTGCTTTTCATAAAATTCATCGGGAAATATTTGGATTTTAATACCATTAAATGAACTTGAGGAAGAGAGATTTTAAGAACAACGGGGAGACATCAAAATGAATAACACTCATTGAGTATTAAAAAGCTGATGTTCTTGAAAGGAAAACTTAAGTTAGATGTAATTTAATCTTCTGAAGTTGGTTCTAGAAGAAGAGCATCTATATGCACTTAGCAGAATGCTGCCTATTCTTCTGTTATATAGGCTGTAAAATTGACTACAATATACATGTTTGAAAATGTAATGAAGAAGTTGAAAAGGTAATAAACGACACCAATTATTGTACTTGAATGTAATTTACATATTTGCGAACAAAACATTTTAGGTTTCCTGAATCGCATACCTCAGAGTTACGAAGTACGGCGTTATATGTTTAACATAAATTTGATTGTAATCGTTAAAGCGGTATAAACTAACTTAAAGAGTGGTCTGAATATGTTTTTCGTCAATTTTTATGAAATTTTGCAATTTTTTCCCTTCACAATATTTGAAAAGATAATAACATAAACCATGTAACATGAAAAAGCAGAAGTTAATGTGCATAAAATTTTCACCAGCAATTTTTCGGTAATCTTGACTTATTCATGTCAATTTATTCTCTAAAAAAATTCAGTATAAATAATCAAAAGAAATAAAATCTTCTGTAGCGTTTAAGGAGTAACGGAAGCTAAAAATTCTTCAAAAGATAGTGGTTTAGGATTTTTTGCATTTTCAATTTCTCTACACTTTTAGCTTGTAAAAATACCATACTTTTATCTCTATAAAAATTAGGACTGTAAATCTAGTTTTAATTTGTCATCGAATAAATAGGGATTTTTGCATAAAAATCCCATTTTCTCCAAAAGCGATTTTTTATACTCGATTCACCTTTTCTCAAAAACTGCTGCTCAGAAGTATATAAATTTTCATAGCTTGTTTATTATGTTTCCTAATGTTAACTGAAATGAGCTTTTTGCGATAAACTAAGAGAAAAAATTCAGTTTTTTTTTTTAGTCCAAAGGGGCTTTGTCTCTGAAGGACTATTGTTTTCGTTTCGCGATTTTGTTTGGTTCACTTTAAATGTCCGTTTCACTTTTCAAACTGTTGCAACCAAATGTTAAGAGTCCTGCATTATATTTAAAGAAATTGAATAATGAAAAATCTGCATAAATGTACGTCTAATTCTGACATTGTGATAAAACAACGGTACATAGAGCCATCGAATTTTGAATGACGTAATCCTACTGCGAATATGGGCATGTGGAAGCCCAAATTTGAAATTTGTAATTTTTTTTATTATCGATTTAATACTTTGTAAATATTTAACGAATTTTAGAGTAACAAACTCAACGATTTGAAAGCGAGCAATGGCAACTTTGTATATAAAAAACATTTTTATATCCAGCGCGCGAGACTCAGAACGCGGAAATTCTAAATGTATGCTCGATTTAAAACTATTCTGCGATATTGATCTTGAACTGAATTTTATGCTTTAAGTGCGAAGAACGAGATATTTATAAAATAAAGGTAACAGACAAAATGTTTAAAAAACGCTCCGTTGTACGTAATTTAAAAACGGAAACCTTTAATTTTTTTTTTTTTTTTTTTTTTCGAGAAAAGTGCTAAGTTTTTCTATGCCTAATACAATATGCTATAAACTATCCTAAAACTCAAAACGGTTGAATACCTCATTTCAGTATAATCTCATAGAGGTACTCTGTAATTAGACAAAACAAATTCAAACATGTATTTACAGCAGATTTTGAGAAAAGGTACATCAAAAAAAGGCCAATTTAACATTGTCGGTATGGATGTTCCTACTTCCCTTAAAAGGCCCTACAAATTCGAGTGCAAAGAAACAACAACGTTGCCAATACAGAGATTCCCCTACGCATGTTACTTACAGGCCTTTCAATTTGCAAAGCGTTTGTATGTGGAATCCGCGTCACCTATGGTTGTAATATTTTAATCTCAATATCTTAATTTGATTCAAATTTTCCTGTCTATCCAATCAACTACCATTCACTAATATTATATAATTTATTATGCATATTTCTTAATTAGTATAATTTTTAAATTTCATTCACTATCTATAAAAATTGCTTCAGTAATAAATCAACATCTTTTCGTTAAAAACCCATTCGGAACTTCAGTTATTGAAGTAGACAGCTCATCCCGATAATAGAAAATTCCAAATAACTACACTATCTTTATGGCCGCCCATACAGGAAAGTGGTTACGGACTCTCATTGCTGCAAGTGAAGGGCTTGGGTTCGAATCCCGGAGAAGGCACTTATGTAATTTGTTTGTGCATAAGAGGCAGCGATGACCCACCTATCATGTACCTCTAAGGCCCATATCACACGGCGTTTGTTTCACATGAACAACTGTTTCGGACAATTTTTCTGCCTGGTTTACTATTGAAAGAAAAACGTGCGACTTTTTCCTGCCTTTCCAAAAAAAATTGCAAGTTGTTCGTTTTCAAACAATCAGCTATCAGCTTCGAATGCAACTTGTTTGTATCAGCTTGTTTCAGCTTGTTTGTATCAGCTTGTTTGTAGTGACGAACCAGTTTCCCCCTGTGTTAACCTCAAAGCGATCTATATGGTGATTAACTGCTGTGACAAAGCAGAAGAAGTGTTACAAACAGTTGTTCTTCCGAAACAAAACGACGTGTGATAGCAGCCTAATATAGATCACCTCTTCTGGCCTTAGTAATGGCCACCTCCTATAAACGACTAGAGTCTGCCTTTGGAAGAAAACAAAGTTGTCTTTGTGTCTTTAGTCAAAATGTCTAATTATTGTAGAGTAAGGTAGATGTATTTTTCTTTTATACAGTTTTGTTTTATAGGAGATTATGCATTTTGATATGCTTGAAATATGCAGCATTTAAAAGTAAGGAAACAACTAATTCTTTACCCTCAAAAACACGCGAACATCCACGTCCCTGCAACGACAAAACTAGCAATGCTACTTCTAGTATTATTACTGATAATAATTAATATGTGCTGGATAACCCAAAAGATATAAGAGAAAATGCGATAGTAAACGACAGCAATTATTCTGTACATTATAGAGAAAACATTGTAAGCCCAAAAGGGCTGTTAGCCTCGAAATGCGATTTTGCGTTGTTTCACTTTTCATTCGAGTCTGTTGCTATTCGGCAAAATTTAAGCAGTTTATTTCTATGTAATTAATTCATTCGGCAAAATTTAACTAATTTATTATGTATTTTGGAATTTAATCTCTCAGTTGCCGATGTGCAAACTAAGCTAATTAAAAGCAATAGATGCAGTTCTTAAAAATCTTACCTTTTTACTTTTCAATCTGATTGATTTAATTTTATTTATATCGTGATATATCTAGTAAAAACATTAAATATTTTTACAAATTACATTATATATTTTTCGCTTTTTAAATACATACAACATTGCATTCCTAGTTTAAATGGATCTTCATCTAATAACCTATAGAATGGTGTGCTGTTTCACCTGGGCCATGCCTACTGATAATATCTACTTATAAACCATAGTAAAGTTTAAAAGAGTCCTTTTGAGCTGTCGTTAAGATCTGGAAGCTTTGGGGCTTAAAAAATTACTAGGCCAAAGGGCGTTAGCAAAGAAAGGCTATTAATTTCAAAACGGCATTTTGCGACTATTCACTTTACAAGCTATTGTTACTAAATATCATCGCCAAGTATTATATTTAAAGAAAGTAAATAATGAGGAATCTGCATAAATGTTTCTCACATTGTGAAGAAACAACTGTACATAGAGCCATCCAGTTTTGAGTAATGTAGTCCTCCAACCGAACATGGACATTTGGAAGCGCGAATTTTGAATTTCGAACTTGTTTTATTACCTGTTTAAAATTTTATAAAACTTTAACAACGATTTAATTAACAAACTCAACGATTTCAAAGCGAGCAATGGCAACACTATACGAAAAAAAAAAAAAAAAAAAAAAAAAAAAAAAAAAAAAAAAACATTTTTACCTCCAGCGCACGAGACGAGACTGTATCGGAGATTCTAAAGAAAAGCTCTTTTTAAATTATTTTTGTGATATTGCTGTTGAATTGAATTTTATGGTTTAAGTACGAAGAACATGAAATTGAATAAACAAATGTAACACACAAAGCGTTAAAAACGCCCCTTTGGGCGTAATATAAAACTTGAAACTTTTCAGACTTTTTTTTTTTTTTTAATTTCTTTGAAATCTATTATACAAAGGCTATTTAAGCTATCCCTCAAATAATGATACAAAAATTTGTTTTAACATAGGAAAATGTTTCTGATAAATCGATGTAAAATAAAATGAAAAAACAGTAAGGAGTATGAAAAATAACGGACATTGGTTTTGAAGCACCTAAGCCTAAAAACAGGTTGCTGTAAAATATGCTCTTCATTTAAACTACTGACTCTCACTGCTGCAAGTGAAGGGCTTGGGTTCGAATCCCGGAGAAGGCACTTATGTAATTCGTTTGTTTCTGCATAAGAGGCAGCAGTGGCCCACCTATCATGTACCTCTCAGGCCCATATCACACGGCGTTTGTTTTACACGAACAACTGTTTCGGACAATTTTTCTGCCTGGTTTATTATTGAAAGAAAGACGTGCGACTTTTTCCTGCCTTTCCAAAAAAATTGCAAGTTGTTCGTTTTCAAACAATCAGCTATGATCTAAGACCAAAGAATATGATATCAATAGGTTGAGTGTGAATAATAACTGAAGCAAGTATTATCGAAAAAAGTAAACCTGGAATTCATTCATTACCCCAAATAAGGGTTAATAATATGACGTTTAGTTGCTAAGATTCGTGATGACCATTTAGACGCCCGCATATTTACGTGAGAGTATTTTCCGCAGTCTGCTGCAAAGGTAACAAAATATTCTTAGTATCTGCTACGGAAATTTTCAAACAATTTCCTTTTTTATTTACAGAGCGTAGATTCAAATTGCATCTGGATACACTAAAACTGATTTTGCTGAAATTGCTTTCTTTGATCAGTGTGCAGATTGCTTTTTATGAAATGTGTTGCGTTTGAATTCCTAAAATTTACAGACAAATATTTTATTTAAAAATATGATTTGTACACCACATCACTTCCTTGTACGGAATATTAATTTACAAGAATTTTTTCCTACATTTCATTTAATCTTATTTCCTCGAATTGCATTAGAGATATATTTCTCCTTCAATTAATACAGCTCTCCCTTCGCAAAAAAACTTACATAAAAACCCAAAATATCCTCACTAGAAAATTGAAAGATATAGAAAAGCATAAAACACCAAATACAATTAAAACTAGAGTTTCTACGCAAAAACAAGCAGTTCCGCCAACGGGGAAAGAAACATACTTTTCGGTGCACAAAACTAAAAGTTTCCTTTTGGTTCCACTCGGCAAGACGACACTGAAGGTGTAGAAGGAGTGAATTCACTATTCTGCTAAGTTTCAAATGTAAACAAATACTGTTGGTATGGTGAAAATAAATTAGGCTTAGCCGCACTTAAACAAATTTTAGATTGTTGATAATTCTGCAATTGTTGCATGCAGATTAACATTAACCGAAAGATAAAAACCACATAAATCAATAATTTTTAAGGAAAAAAAAACTGCACTATTTATCAACATATAAGAATAAAAACACTAAGCTCACTCACCCGAGTAACAGAGTGGGTATATGTATATATATATATAATTTCATATAACTTTTGGTGCTGCCTATTGCAAACAAAAATGGAACTGCACAACTGCATGTTATAGCAGTCCTATATACAAAATTTCAACGCTCTGAGGCTAATCGTTTTTTGAGATATGCGAAATACTCACGTACGCACGTACGTACGTACGTACGTAGAGACGCCAAGAAAAATCTCTTCTCAATCCATTTTAAATCAATTTTATAGTTAGTTTAGGGAAAAAGAGACCTTCATCCTGTCTTTACAGATGTCACACAAAAATATTGTTAAATTGCATTCGATAGCGGTCAAAATGGATATTTTCGTTGAAATATGATACCTGGAATTTTTCGCGGTTACGTTACTTCCTTTACTTCGTACAAGGGTAGTAAAAATGGGTTCAAATCATATTTTTTTCTGTTTCTAATTTACTATATGAAAACTCTTATATTGGCTCGCCATATTATTATATTATGTGTAATGTATATACGAGCCAGTTTCGCTTAGAAAGTCCTCCACGAAGGCATTCCTCCCTTAGGCAGATAGCCCTAGTGTGCTTTGTCATAATTAAATAAACCAAACCAAACCAACCATATTATTATATTTGTATCCAATTAAACAATTGTAATGAGTGCAGTTCATGACGATCCAATGCAAGAGTGGACGACATACCAATCAATTTTTGCTTAACCATTTCAAATAGTAATAGATTGTTACTTAAATACTGTGTACTTGAACATTGTTTACAATCACAATACAATTGTGATGCACCAAAATTTTCTCACTATGTTCGGAAGATTCATAAAACCAAAAATAATATCCTCTGAACGATCTAAACCCAGCATTAAAGAAAGTCAGAGTTTAAATTGCACGTATTTTTAAATTGTGCTGCTAGTGCACAATTGTGCGTATTTTTAAATTGTGCACGTATTTTTAAATTCTCTTTCATTGCTTGAAAGAGAATGAATTGGAAAAACGCTCTTCACATATATATATGTGTGCGTGAATATGCATCAAAATGTGTCATGTATCTACCTCTCTAGGTCAACAATTTCTGAAAATAGGTCATTTCCAAAACCATAATTGAATGGTGTACTGAAAATTTCATTAGTAATGTTTTCCCAGCTGACCACTTTAAAAAAAAATTGAATCATGAGGGTATCATTTTAGAAAGATTTCGTGATGTATGAACGCATAAATCAATATATTTTATAATTATTAATCGAATGAATTTTGTTTTTCAGATTCCAGTAGAAATTTCTATGTTCCAACCTCCACAAATCTTCGTCTGTTGCCTTTTAATGCCTCGTCTGTATCCGATCTCTGTCTGACACCATTATGTGTTAAAGAAGGTAAACACTTTCATTAGTTTTTGCTGCAGGGTATTTATATATGTTATAATTGTCTCTGTATCTTCTCAATAACACTTGCTCATTTTTAGTACAACCTCAAATGTAGCATGTGTTCTCACTTGTTTACACCTACATGGCTCTCTGACCTACTTAAAGATTCCTATGGCACTTGAACATACATTGACATTCAGAACTACTGTAATCCAATGAAAATCTAATTAGTGAATGACTTTTCTTGTATCTTCATTTTTTAGTATTCTTGAGAAAAGAGCAGGAAAAAAAAATTCTAAAACTTAATTTCGCTCATCTCTATCAGTTCTAAAAATAAATAATATTTAATGTTACGTAAAGACGCAGAAGGCTTTGCATGTTCTGCTTATTAAGTGTACAGAAAGCCTTTTTGCAAAATCAGAGTTGTGTATTCTGCCTTTCAGTCGTATCTTTTAATACTATAACGGAACATTTACATCATCATAAATAACAGACGTTGACTTCCAAAGCGGTCTATCGAGCTATTAGAAAGAAATAATGATATGGAAAACTTAGGTTAGAAAGTTAGACAGAAGTTGAAAATTAAAGACGAAAGCAAAATAAACCCATGCTTTATATATATATAATATATATATATATATATATATATATATATATATATATATATACAGAGTGTTTCAGCAGAGCGGTTACAAACCTTCAGGAGATAAAATGCACGTAGACGAATAGATAAACACATAGCAATGCATGGTTTTCCTGACGCGGTAGTGACAACCCAAAATTCAAAAAAGGAAGGACACGATCAGGGTGAATGCCTTGGCCGTTTACATTGCCAACTTCATTATCAGCTTTAATCATTCCTATTTAAGTCACTGCAGGCCCGGTTTGATTTCCAAAACCATACAATCCATTCATAGCATGTTCGGGTTTCACTTTAAGTTTCTTAGCAACTGAAGTCCTTAAAAGACAATAGAAACTCCCCGTATCCATTAAAGCCTGTACTTCTTCAGAATTATTCAGTTTTGCTCTCTTCTGAATTTTCACCAACTTGCTCAACAGAACAATTTTTATCATTTGAATGATTATTTTAAGCTTTATTAACACACGTTTTAGCTTTATGTCAAGTTTTACTAAATTTTCGGCACATTACTACTGGATTTGTCAGCAGACAGTCCTTTGAAATATGTCCAAAATTATTACAGCTGAAGCAGTTTGGTTCACCTGTTTCATTATGTGTGATAGAGTTTTTTCTTTTCATTGACTGTAGCAACTGGTCCATCTTTAAAGGAGTTTCGCTTGTCAAAAGGCCTTTCTTTACTTGGTTGCTTATTTTTGAAAGTTGACTAGAACTTAAGCAACAAAAATCAGCGTTATATTTTCAAATTTTCACAGGACTAGTTTCGATGGTTTTACCGAACCATCATCCTCAGCTGCAAAATCGCAAATGAATAAGTAAGATATAATGATTAGATAAGATAAGATAAGAAAGCCTGGACAGGAGATAACTACTGGCTCCATCTGTTGATGAAAGCAGAACTAAAACATAATTTCTTTAAAGGCTGAAGGCTAAGATGGATTGGAAAGAAGAATTAACTTGTGAAAGCAGTTGAAAATCAGTCACAGAACAGCTGTGGACTGCAATAACTACGTGCGAGAGATTTATGTGGATTCTTTGCTTAAACGTCAACAACGGTAAACAGGAGGACCTTAAACGTCAACAACGGAAACAGGAGGTATGATCGTGGATGAAAATATGTCAACGAAGCGCAAAAACAATGCGGGGCGGATTCTACCAAACAGAGGATCTTTGGTAGAGATTGCCGTGAAACAAACGAATGCTTCCTTTTGAAGGTGCCAAACCGATCCATGAGTATTAGATTAGAAGCAATAAAGGAGAATATCGAAAACGAAACTATAATATACTCCGATTCATAGAAATCATATTGCACTGAAAAACCGGAAGAGGAATGTTTGGAACATTTCAAAATGAACCATAAATATAATTTTGTTGAACCGAAAACTGTAACGTACACACACACACACACACACATACACACACACATACACACACCAAAAAAAAAAAAAAAAAAAAAAAAAAACTATGGGATAGCACGAAATAAGAAACACAGAGGAACGGCACGTCATCATTTAGTAAGTTATCTCGCTCTATTTATGTGGAGAAAGTAAATAAAAGACCCATCTTAAAAAGATTTTAAATGATATTAAAATGTTTATGCCTCCAAAGTAAAAAATTCTTACAACTAACATTTGTTAACATTTTTTATAAGTATGCTGTGTGTTGTCGCCAATAAAGTCTGCTTGGCGAGATTTACGCTGCGAAATGGAAAAGTACCTTTTTTTCAAATCGCTCATTTTATGACTCTCATTTACATTTTCTCCCAATTCTTCGTTTAATATTCTTAAATCGCATTTCTTTACCTTATCGAAAATAGACATTACAAGATTAAATTTTATAATAAATATGTTACAGCAATCAATGCACATACCTTGAAATTAAAATTCTTTTCAACTTATTTACCCGTAGAAAATTCTTATAACTTTAGACTTAGGTTTCAGAATTATCCCGCTTCCGATTTCTGTTAGCTTCCCTTTGTATTTAAATTAATGACTCATAAGACGTTTTTAAAAAGCAAACATTTATTTAAAGATAAATCGTACCCGTTACTTAATAACCTACACATAACGTATTCGTAAACGTCATAACATAACAGAGGTTTTTACTGCATCGTATCGATATACATGTCAATAGTGTTTCATCTGAATATTTAAAAAGTAATATAAATAGAACGACATCCAGATTATCTGTTGTCATTCCTCAATAGATAGTCCGTCTAATAACAATAAATAATTTACAATCGTGCTTACATAAATAACACTTCTATTTCTAAAAAATCCTTAGTAAGTTTATGGCTATTTAAGCCAATACCTACCTTATGCAAGGAGGCTAGAAGAGAAGCCCAAGAGACTGTGTCGAAGGCACCCGAAATGTCGACGAATACCACCGTGACATGAGCCTCTGATTTACTTTTACAAATATGACCTACAACTCAAAAGAAAGCCCCTCAGCCGAGCTGCCGGGAATAAAACAATACTGCCTTTCAGATATTAAATTATTTATAAACTAGCGGAAGTATCTGATGCCAGTTACGTTAGATTGAGAGTAATGCATCTAACAGCAGAGAGAACGATACCGCTGTAATCCTTCTCTAATAACGATGCAAAAAATACGATTCATAGTCATACATTCTTCAGTCTCGTGCGATATGGAACCCACATAAAAATTTTCCATAGAAAAATAAACTAATTCTCTCTCATTATATAAGCATCAATGGCACGCAGTTTTCAATGATTTTCATCTTTCTAACCAAATGGTCGTAAAAGCTCAAGTTCCATTCAATATTTCACTTATTATATTCAATTTTAGTCGATTCAGTGCGACAAACAATTTATCATAATTAATCAGAAAGAAATAACGCGAACAAACAAGCACACAAACAGACATTCTTCTTTATATATATATATATATATATATATATAATTTGTAAAACTTACAAATTTTTGATTAACAAATTCTACGATTCGAAAGTGAACAGTAGCAACACTTTCCGATAAAGCACTTTGATCTCCAACGCACGAGACTGTTGCCACTCGGAAAAATGAGTGCGAAAATTAACTAAATTTTCGGAGTTTTTAATTAATATCTTGGCTGATTAAAAACGTACGCATGCGAAATGGCTTCCCGCGAATTTTTGGAATCGGGAGGAATGTGCTCAATGTTTGGCAATGCTATTTTTATTTCATCGTAAAACTTAAATTTTTTATTAACAAACTCTAGGATTTGAAAGCAAGGAATGACAACTTCCAAAATAAAGCGGATTTTTCATCTACAGCTTGCGAGACTGTTGCCACTCGGAAAAATGTGGACGAAAATTATCGTTTTTCTGAGTTTTTATTTAATATCTCTGATTATAGATACTTTTTTGGGGGGTGGGGAAAGTGGACCTCGACCTTTTTGAGGACCCATGAAAGAATTGTAGAAAATTTGGTGACGATAGCTATAGTAGTGAGTGAGTTATTAGAGGACAAACAAACAGACTTTCTTCTTTATATATAGAGAGAGATAAATAAATGATGAAAAATTCTTTTAGTAATTAACTTATCTAAAATTTATGCAAATACTTTAAGTAGACAGATGGAACCCTCATACTTAGGAATCAAGATCAGCTTGGTAATTTTCCAAACATTACAAAACGTACAAAGATTAAAACATTTATTAAAAATTAATAATAGAAAATGAAGTTGGGGGATTCCGTCAAGACCCGGTGCACTTCTCTGCGAAATCCTAAAAATAGTAGCCTGTAATTCCACGTTAGTAAAAACCTGTTCAATCTCTCTAACATATTCCTCAGAACCTATGGAGTCATCAGAAATTCCAAAATCCAGAACACCATCTAAAATCTTTTGATAATATATGCGAGGATTCAAATTATTCGTTTCAGAGGAAAAATAACTTTTTTTTTCCATTTATTAGTAGGAATTTTGAACGGTTTTCATAATAGTGTTTAATATTTTAAAATTGTTTATTGTATTTAAAAATACGTTTAGATTTACGTATTGTTACGAATTTTGTATTTAGTTACATATTTTAGTAAAATTATAATTAAAATTGTTTTATTTCCCTTTGCAATACAGAGAGTGATAAATTTAAGAGAAAGCTACGCCCAAAAAGTAAAAATATAAAAACACGTGCATTTAACATTGAATAAATAAATATATCTTTTGTTTGTAGTGAAATTGAATAAATGTCATAGATTACTGTAGCTGTTACCGTAACTCTCTTTTGCTTTTCAGAAATCTCGAGAAGCAAAGAAATCACTATAACTTTCCGGCGACAGATGAAAAGATATAAAAAGCCAAAGAGAGAATATAATAGTCTTCAGCTCAGTTGCTTAATTATTGCGAGTTGTTGTTTCGCTAACTACTGTTTTTATTTTTGCGAATTCGCGGATTAGCTTTCTTTTTGCATTGTGATGTATTTCAACGATTTTAATAGCTTAAAGTATAGCTACTGATTATATTGTCTGATACTGCGATATTGTACGAATATCTCCGAGGAAAATTACAGCGTTTTGTTATATTTTTTACGATAAGAATAAATTTTATTAAACTTTTATCAGACTTGCGCATTCAGTCTATTAAGAACCCGTACGCACGCAACTATATTAATTTTTGAAATAATTAACCAAGAGAAATTAACCAGGAGAAACCAAGTTGATTAACCAAGAGAAATTAGCTAAGAGAGTCATTTGGTTTAGCTTAGAAAGGTTTCAGATATCGAAATTCTGAGTTCAAGTTCCGAATTAGCTAAGCATTAGCGTTACGCAAGCCATGTGACAGAGATTAATCTAGAAATGGTGCACATTTCTAGATTAAGCTCTGTCACACAAAAGGTCTAGAAATCATTCACAAAATGTTGGAATACACAGAGGAAATGCTCAAATTAAAAATGAGGAATTAACAGGCTATTGTTAAATTAAATTAAAAAATATATATACAACGTGAAATGTTCTTCTCTTACAGATTTAAATCTACCTGTTGATCTGCCAGAAAACAGAGATATTCTACTGCCTTTGCTCAACGGATCCGAGACCTGTAAGACACCGTCATGCGTCAAGGCAGGTAAGAAACGTTTTTTTCTTCATATTTATAATTCTGTTAAAATACATAAAAGATTTTGTTTTATTTTATCGTGGTCAGAAACATCTATTTCTAAGATCCTATTGCAATTGTGATACGAAAATGTAATTTCAATTGTTACCTGTCAATTACCTGTCAATGCCACATTCAATTGTTACCTGTCAATGCCACATTAAATTGTCCATTGCTAGGATATGCTAACTGATTTGAGCGGCGCTCTTGCCATTAAGTGCAATGTTAGTGTAAACCTTCGTTAGTTTTTGCATTCTATTTGAATGTAATTTTATCCTTCTGGATATAGGTGCAGAAAGAAAAAAAAATGACAAGTTCAGCGTTACTGACAATCTTCAAATAAGCCCATAAACACTTTTAAAGAAATTTCAACTCGAATACATAATGAATTTTTTTAAGTTTATGTCTTACTATTAAATTTAAATAGCCCTTCCTATTACTATTTGTAATGTAAATAATAAAGAAAACTGATAAAAATAGCTTTTCTTAGAATTTGATTTTGTCTTTTACATTATATTTTATTAATTATTTTCGCGATATATTTAACATATTCTTTTTTAATGTTAGAAAACGTCCTATCAGAATGTTAGTAAATAGATCGGAAAACAATCTTCGGATTGAAATTTATTCCAAATCTCTGAAAGGGTCTTTCGAAATGTTTTCAGTTTTACCAAATACACCTCTGTTATTTATCTTTGTAATGTCAATATTTTTAGACGATGTTTAAGGTGTGTGATGTGTTAATAGCAATGTTTTAAAATTTTTCAAACCTTAAAGTAGATTTTTCGCTCTCTTTTAATAAAGGAAACAAAAATCTGAAGAGAAAAAAGAGATTTTATTGCAATTCCACGTTTTAAATCATGTTCGCAGTTCCGCTTTATTTTTGCATTGATCATAAGACTTCGCTTGGGAAAAAAAAAAAAAAAAAACTCTTTGTTGGTGAGATGAGAAAAAGAAACTTTACTTCGCTATGTAACATCAATTTAGGGAACAGTTCACTAATCACAAACAAATATAATATAAATATAAACACTAATCACAACCCAAGTGCATTAAGGAGCTTTGACTTCATTAATCTTTGACGTAAATTTTGCATCGACTTTACATGCCGTCTCTCAGACAGGCCTACAGTAATTATCGATGCAGTGAAACGAATGTTTACTGCTCGTGGAGAAGTTGAATGATGTCAAATGAAGAAAATTGACCATTTAAGTTCGTCCGAAGGATTTCATTATTATGGAAGTTCGGAAATAAACTTCACACTGCACCCGAGAAATTATATTTCCTTTGATATTCAACCAGAAACCCTCTTTCGTCGTGAACACTAAATGCAAATTCGGTACCGCCGTGCAATACACAGTCGCACAAAGCAAAGATCTTATCTGCAAGAAATACCTTCGGAATTCGTTGGACATCCGAATGTGACAAGATTTAACAGCGTTCTTCTGCATTTAGAGACTGTATGTATAGACTCTAAAGACTGTACCTTTAGTCTCTAAATGCAGACTGTCTTAGAGACTGTATCTATAGTCTCAAAATGCAGACAGCTGGACAGCATGACTTGTTCGGTGATTATCACAATGCGAGAAACATACATACATTTATGCAGGTTCTTTACTATTTAATTTTTTTAAATATAATATAGGGCGATAATATTTGGTGGCAACAATTTGAAAATTGAAATGCCACAAAAAATGCCAAAACAAAATTAATAGCCCGTTTGGGCTAAAATAATTTTGCATATCTTTAAGCCAAATGATGATATGTAGGATAAGATGTATTAATTGTAGAAGAAATAAGTGACGATATTGTTGTGACTGCTGTAGAGCTGCTTCGATTTACAGCTCGTAGCTGTGTTTTCGCGTGTTGTAACAGAGGCTTTGCTTGTGGCAGCATCTATAGGTCCAATTCAGAAGGGCGACTTGAGAAGTTGCTTGGCCTCGGGCACAGAATTTTAGGCCGTGACATGGGCCGTCTTATGGTGAATAAAGGCGAGATAACTATGTATTTAGTAAAAGCAATTTCTGCGGAGCTCGTAGAGTAATAAATGTATTTGTAAAACGTAAAAGAAGTAGAAATTGGGAATAAAAAATATATATTCACATTGTACGATTTCTTTTTAAATTTGAAGGCGCAAAATATTACACAGTTTCAGTCGGAGAATCCATACTCGGCAAACATTTGAACGTACGGGGAAAAATTTTTAACTTGCGGGGATTTATAGATTAAGTGGATTTAAAATGGCAGTTATATTTGCTCAGTAAATGCAAATTCGAACAACATTTTATCGCATAATTATGAAATGAAACAGAGAAATTGAGACTAAAGTTTTTATCTAGGTTATTTTATCAGTTACATAATCAAAAATTTTCGTGTACAGTATCGATTTTCTGTTTTGACGAAACGCGATATGGAATTAGCTGAATTTGAAAACCATTATGCATTTCCCCTGATGAGTCAATTATCAGATTCGAATTGGGCTAATTTACCATTTACCGCTTTTTTGTATCTTTGCTTATGTTTTATATAACCATTGTATTTCTATTCAGATGTTCAAAGCTTGTCTTAACTTTAATCAACATATTCCAATTTGATTTGAGTTTTAAATTCCCTTATTATTTGTAAGTATTCTAGTGATAATTTCATTTATATTGTATTCACACTTTTCATTGCACTTTATTTTAACTTGTGTTAAAATTATTCACTGGAACCACAGTATCACAACAATTTTTAAGGAAAAGCAAGAAGAATGTTCTTTTTACCATGTTTTCTAATTTTTGCAGCTCAATGCGCAAAATTCTTGACCACTAAGGTCTTTTTTAGTTTGCTCTCCTTTCTTAAATTATATATATACACTCACAAACAATGGCCAATGAATTACAAACCCAAGATCGATTTTAATGGATCACCTTTTGCACGGATTCCTTCTCTGATTTGTTTGGAATTTGAATATAGGTGAAATATTGGATGAAACCTAAGCTTTTATGACCATTTGATTAGAAATGCGAAAATCATTAAAATCTGCTTGGCATTGTTGATGTATAATGAGAGATATTTATTTTATTTTTTCTATCAAAATTTTTTATTGAGGTTCCATATCGCATCAGAATGAAAAATATACGATTATGAATAGTATTTTTGCTTCGTTATTAGAGTAAAATTACTGCGGTATCGTTCTCTCTGTAGTTAGATGCATTACTCTCAATCTAACGTAACTGCCATCGGGTACTTCCGGTAATTTTAAATGTATATGTTAAATGGTGGTGTAATTTCATTGACAAAATTCCTGTAATAGGTAAGTTTTCCATCTAGGTATTATACTTGTTGAAATTATTCCCGATTCTCTGTCCTTAAAATCAAATTCACCCTAATTTCAGAATTTGAAATAACAGTTAATAAACAAGGACTGAAATTATCCTTATGTAATTAATGAATTTTCTTTTCCTATACAGCTGCCGACATCCTATCATTTATAGATGAGACTGTGGATCCTTGTGATGATTTCTATAAATTCTTGCGGTAGTTGGATAAAGACAGGACCATGATGGCCAACAGGCTCTTAAAAGTCTTGGTAACGTACGACTAAGCACATACTGAGAGGTAAGGAAACTTTACTTTTACCTTTATCAAGCAAGTTCATTGCAAGAGAAACTGATAACCTTAATAAATAGAGGCAAAAAATGTGAATCATCTTTATTGTTTTTCTTGAACGATGAAACCCCGCATTTCATTAATTACAAATCATGAAAGTTACATAAAGATTACAGCTAAATGAAACAATTGTGAATGCATACAAACTTTCATACGTCAGGGAGTAATGGGATTATTGACGTGGCCGTTTCGCCTTCGGCGTATTTTCTTTACATGACGTATTAATCTCTCCGTATTATATTAAGTTGACTTAAGTTTAATAATTTTATTTACCTATTAAATATTTAAGAGATATTTTTATTATAGGTCTATGTTATATCTTGCTATATTATATTATTGTTTATTAATAGTATTTCTGTTTACTCATTGCTGTCTTAATTTTTAAAAGAAAAAGAACTTTTGCAAGTAAGAGACATCTAGAATTACTAAATATTACCTATAACTAACTTTGTCTCAACCAGCGGTTCTCAACCTTTTCACTAACATGTACCAATTAATAAAAATTGATAACCTACTGACTATAAACTGGACTCATTAACTATATGAAAACTTATTCAAGAACATTTCCAGCCAATCAATAATGCTACAAGCTTTGTTTTTTAATATTTCGAATCGAGGAAGTTGCTTTCCTGCTACATTCGTTTCTCCTCTTTGTATTGTTGGTGTTGGTGTATTTAATTATGGCAAAGCACACTAGGGCTATCTGCCTAAGGGGAGGGATGCCTTCGTGGAGGACTTTCTAAGGGAAACTGGCTCGTATACACGTCTCTTTGTATTGTAATATGATTATTGCATTGTCATTTCAATCTCCATCTTTCTCTACTTTGAGTTATCGTCGTAAAATAATATCTTCCTTGTTGGCTTTCTACCAATTATTGGAAATCTTCTTATAACCAGTAAATATATTGTTACGGATTTTTCAATTAAATAGCTAATTTTCAGTAGAATTTGAATCCCATGGATGGTTGGAGAATCTTCTGGAACGAATTCTTACCATTTTAGCCCAGAATGTTCTCGAACGCAAGCCAAAAGCTATATAAACCCTGCTGGCCCGCAGTCAGTGAGTGAGTGTGCCTCGTCGAGAGGGCGGGTGTGTGTACCTCGTCTAGCGAGCTGATAGTCAGTCATTGAGCGAGTGTCTCGAAGTCTAGCGCCGAGTTGGTAGTCGAGTGCATCGAGAGAGTCTTTTAGTGCATCGCGAATTAGTACATCGTCGAGTTTTGTCGTAGACTGTGCTGAGTCGAGAGCTATAATCTTGTTTATCTTCCAGTGCATCACGTGGAGAACGTCGAGAGTACGTGGAGCTCCGAGACTAAGCTGAGTTGGGATCTGTACTCGGGTACTTTGCAGTGAAGCTGTGTCCACCGTTATTGCCTGACAGTGTGAAGGCTGTGTCGCTGAAAGTGTCAGCGTGTTTATAACAGTTCAATGACTGTAAAAGTGACTTTAGAGCTGTCCTGATTAATATTGGCCAAATAAAAATGTGTTTCGATACTTCATTAAGAGTCGTCGTTATTCACTCCAAATCTACGAACCCCGTACGAACGTAAAGGAAGAAAATAACGTAACAATATAATGGAAACGATCGCGATTAAAAAGGCAACTCGATATTCAGAAAAAATATATAAACTGCTTAAACTAAAATTTATGTAAATTGAAATATGATACGACACTAGCTTGGATTACATTTATTTTGTTTAAGGAATTATCCCAACAATCTGATGTGTACACCACAAGACTTCCATGTACGGATTATTAAATTATACGCATTATTTTCTGAATTTTATTCAAACTTATTTCCTCGAATTTCATTAGGGAAAAATTTCCCATTCAATTAATTCAGTTCTCACTTCGTGGCAAGGCAAAAATACATTAAAAACTCAAAACATCTTCATTAAAATATGAAAGATATAGAAAAACATAAAACACCAAATGCAGTTAAAACAATTAAAAAACAATTTTTACGATTAAAATTACAGCTTCTACGCAAAAACAAGCAATTCGGCCAGCAGGCAGATTTTTCGGAGTACAAAACCAAGTTTCCTTTTGGCTCCACTCGGAAAAAAGACACAGAAGGTGCAGAAATTGACTTAATTTGTTGTGGATGCTATGCTGAGTCAATATATCGGATAAAGTAAAAACTTTAATGATAATTCCTGAATAGATTAAGCATTATTTAATTCGCAATAATAAAAGAAGACGTTATCCTTGTTGTTGCGAAGTTTAGTTTCACTAGATTGGCAACAAATCCACTATTCTGCTAAGTTTTAAATGTAAAAAAATACGGCTGGTATCGTAAGAAATATTAGGCTTATCTGCTCTTAAACAACTTTTAAATTGTTGGTAATTCTACAAGTACTCCATGCAGATTAACTAAAGGCATAAAACTTCAACCGTAAGAAACGAACAACATAGTCAATCATTTTTAAAGCAAAAGATGCAAAATTTACCAAAATATAAGTTTAAAAATAACTGAGCTCACTGAGCCGAGTAACAGAGAGATATACATATAAAGAGATATATTTATACACTTTTTGGTGCCGCCGATTGCAACCAAAAGAAAAAAAGAAGAGGCGCACAACTATATATTTTTGCGTGCGTACGGGTTCGTTATGAATTGAATGCACTATTCGGATGAAAAGCGAATAAAATTTATTATCACATCAAATAAACCGAAATGCTTAAATTTCCTCAGCTATCTCACAGTAGCTATCTTTTAAACTACTAAAAACGTCCAACAGACCTAATTAAAAATAGAGAAACGTAGAGAAAGCTAATCCGATTTCACCGCGAATTCGCTACATTAAACAACAGCAGTTTTCTAAACAAAACTCATAAAACAACTAAATTGAGGAGTTTTCATGCCGCTTATATAAGCTTTTTAGATGCACGAGAATTTTCTGGTATTTTCTCAAAAAGCAAAAGGGTACAGTAACGAGATGTCTATTTATTGAAGCGCGTGCTCCTCTATTTTTAATTTTTTCGGCTTAGCTTTCTCTTCTATTTGTCACGCACAGCATTGCAAGAGGAAATGGAACAATTTAATAACAATTCTATTAAAAATATCAAATAAAATACAAAATTAGTAACAATATTATAGCAGTTTCTATATAAAAAATTCAAAATTAAGACTACTGTTTGGTTTATGCGAGATATTACACATACGTACTGACGCTACGAGAAAATCTCTTCTGAATTCATTTTAAATCAGTTTGATAATTCGTTTGGGAAAAACGAGTCCTTTATTCTGCCTTTACGTACAGATTTCACGGGAAAACATCGTTAAATTGCATTTGATAGCGGTTAAAACGAAGATTATCGTTGAAATATAAAAGCGGGAATTTTTCGTGACTACAATACTTCCTCTACTTCGTACAAGAAGTAAAAAGCAAGGACCATGGAAAAGTGGTAATGTAACACGAAACCAAACAGTAGAAAACGGCCGGTTATTCGTAATTTTAACACAAGCAAGTTTGCATTAGAATGCCCTCCATGAAAATATTTACGCCCTTTAACTGGAAGCATTAGTGCCCATTGTTTTTATCTTATCCAAATGCGACCTTTTTTTTTTTTTTTTTTTTTTTTTTTTTTTTTTTTTTTTTGCGTAGAGTCATCTAAATATGTACTGCATCGTAGCCAAATAGGGCTGGAAATAAAACATATTTTAAATGTACCTGGATTTTGGTAAATTTTTTAGTCCCGACTTATTACTGTAATATAATTTTAAACGGATATAAAAAAGTGACTACACTTTTTTCTGTTCCTCTATTCTACGGATGATTTTAAAAAAGGTTATTCCAACACATTTCATTTGTAATATATTATCAATTTTATTGAGGTTGCAGTTGCATAAGTGTTTATTTGTTTTTTTTCCAGTTTATCTTAGAAAGGAAGTAGATGGAGACAATGTGATTTCATTCGTCAGATGAAGACATTTTACGACTCCTGTACAAATGAAAGTAAGTTCTCATGAATTTGTTATACTTGAAATAAGATGGAAACATTTTCTCAGAGGCATTACAACAAGCTAAGAACTACTTCAACGAAATTTAAAAAAATCTGATGGGGACAACACCTGACTTGTACGGCCTATTACATTATGAATATTTTTTGCAGCACTTAATTCAAACTTATTTCCTTAAATTAATGTAGCTTTTCAAAAGCAATGGCTATCATAAATTGCAACCAAACTTTAATTAGATAGAGAGAGAACGAATTATCGTTAAGTCTAAACGTTAACGATAGAGATTTGAGTTGATTTAAACAAACATTTATTAAATCAGAATCTGAACATAAAAGCCCTTTCGCGCTCACAATTCAGCTAAACACTTGAGGCGAGGATTACATAAAATGACAGTAAGTTCAAATTTAAAATAAGCTAACAGTCGAAGATTATACAATTCAATTGATCTCGAAGTTGGCTCGCAAACTAGTCGGCGTAGGTATTCAAAAGTACCGACGGCAAATATACTCGTGCTACAAAATAAGCACACATTTTAAAATAAAATGTACGAATGTAAGAAAGGGAATTAAGACATACAATTTACATTTGATGTAGAGCAACATGATGTATTTACATTTGATGGCAGGAATGCAAATAGACAACCAAAATTAGCATAAAATGCAGTCCCGTAGTCCCCAAACATCGCCTTAAAAAGGGATATGCAGGACATATGTGTCAGTTTGCAAGCAGCGATAGTTCCCCGTAATCCGAGGTAGCCAAAGCTGAGAGCATGAGCCGAAGACACTGTTTGCATCATAAAATGCGTTGGAGAGGCTGTCGGAAGGTTGCAAGATGGTGCAACACAATCAGCTGTTGCGAGAGAGCTGAATGTAGTGTCATAGTAGTGTCATCAATAGTCTGAGGAATCG